GTTAAACCCCGATAATCCGGTCTAGACCGTAAAAATAAAAGGAAGCCGAAATCCTATTAGGTCCAGCCCATTTCTTAACTCCAGCTTTTCGTTTGCATGCGCATAAACTAAGCGAGCAGTCCATTCGAGCAGCCCAAATCTTATTAGGTCCAGCCCATTCGATCTTCTCTCTGTTCGTTCAGTTTAATTTATATTTCCAGCCATTCGCATAGGTTTTATTTGGAAGCAAAATGCTCTACTAATATAGAAATATGTCGCATATCCTGAATTCAACCATCACTTGTTTGCAAATAAATAGTGACCATTAAACCATAGATTTTCAAGTTTTAGGCGTGCTATGTTCATTTCTGGTTGTTACCTATTTGGAAGCTCGTAGTATCAAATCTGTTTTTACTTTTTAATAGCTCAATTATATAGCATGTGTCATGAACAACCTGAAGTTTTGTTTCAAAAAAAATCTGGTCTGTAGTGGCGTATAACCGGACCGGAAAAATCATGATTGCAAACACATCCGGTCTTCGGTCCATGTAAGAAGACGATTTTGGTTCCTGTCTGGTTCGGTTTTGAACCGGTTATATTTGGATGTATGAAAGTTGAAATCACCCAAATATGACTGAAATATAACTCTTATTTCAAAATAAAAGTTACATATTTTATTTCCAAAATAAGAGTTGCACTGTGACTTTTTGGCACTATAATTGTCATTTCACAATATTTTTTGGTATTATATGTTGACATTATTAACATTGTAACTCTTGTTTTGAAGACAAAAAATATGAAACTCTTATTTTAATTATTTCTTTATGTTTGACTCCTATTCTGGTATTTTTCTGATAAAAGTTCATGACATTTTAATATTTTTTGGGCACTATCATTGTTGTTTTCGATAAAGTCTATGTATGTATAAATCATTTGTAACTATCATCCATTGGGCACCCGTGGTGAGTCTAACATTTTTGTTAAAATTTAATTTCGAAACAAGAAATGTGTGGTGGCTGCATGGGTGGTGTACCCCAATCATTTTTGTACCACCAAAGATGAATGACTTTTTCATTCTCGCAAAGTAGCAATGGATTTGCAGATACATGATGGATGACTAAGAGTAACATGAACAAAAAACAGATTAAGATTGTACAATCTTTCATTGTTTTCCAATATGAGATTAACAAAGAAGAGCAAGTGCCCAAATCATAGCATCACTGAGGGCACACCTTTTGCAATAAACATTCAAGTTCATCAGTAATATCAATTCCATCTTGCTCCATTCTCGTGCGCATATCGTGTGACATTCTGCCAGCACCAGAGTAAGTCTGCAACACTGATTTGTACACATCACCGTTCAGACAACAACCTTTTAGCTTCTTCAAACCACCACAGAACCGTTCGGCACCATCAACATCCCTCTCCTCTTCAAAATGATTCAGAAATGCTTTGATGGTTTCAGGTCTTGGAGACCAATCCTTCTCCTTGGACATGGATATGGCAGATTCGATGCACTGCAGAGCACGATCGACATTCTTCTTCTTTAGAAAGGAAACCGAAAACATTTCCAGCCCATTGAAGAATGGTCCCTTTGACCTCTCCATCGCAGTGGAAAAGACCTCTTCAGCTTCTGTTACCATGTCATGCCTTAAATAGGCACAAATGGCAGCATTCGCAACTCTCATGTCATAACTGGAGCACCTTAATTCCCATTCTGTAAAGACTTTCTTTAGCCCATCCATATCATCCAGCTTACTTAGAGATTGAACCATGATAAGATAACTATAGTTGGTTGTCACTTCAAATTGGGATTTCAAAGAGCTCCAAATGCGGTTCACCTCCACTCGATTAGACATTCCAGCATACAAGCTTAGCAAAAAGTGGTATCCTTCACGGTGGCGTAGCCTCCTGATCTCCCCCTCCATCTTTTTCATAGCTATCCCGGCCTTCTCATAAAAACCAAGCTTGGAGTAGGCACACGCCAAATGACTGTATGTTGTCCAATCACACATTTTTTCATTACCACTCTTCATCTCTTCATAAACTCTTTCCACTCCCTCTATATCATTGGAAGAGAGATAGCTAGTCATCAAGATATTGTAAGTAAAAGTGGTTAGCTTTAAGTTTCTTCTCTTCATTTCCTCAGCTAAAAGGGGCACCTTCTCCGGTTTCTTGAGTCTCATATACAAGGACATAAGATTGTTAAAACACAATGTTGAAGTGTAGCGCATCTTATCCATTCTCTCATACAGAGCTAACGCTTCGTCAGCCATCTTCTCAACACAATAGCAATTTAGCAGAGATCCGAAAGTATAGTGATCTTGCGCTTTAGATGGAAGGTCATTGAAGTATTTCTCAGCAGCTGGAACTCCCTGGACCTTTGCAATGAGATCCAATAGTATTGCGCGATCTGCACTCCCAAAGTTAACATTCCTATTCGCCATCCATTCCATGATCTGCATCCGCACATCAAGAAAAAAACTTACCAGTTACCACACACATAAAATTAGGCACTGTGAAAAAGAGCAGTTTTACTTCTCCCGGCATTATGCACAAATACAAAATGGTTTACTTTTTTGTCTTAAAACGAACACCCGGAAAAGAGAAAGGGTTCAAAATTTTAACACCCCAAAACCACACACTAGGAAACGGGTAGAAGATGTAAATTTGAAAGCACATTAAAAACATTAGAGAGTATGGGTTAAATTCTTTGTCCATTCCATGAGCATTTGAACTTTGAAGGTTCATCATAGAGCATAGAAACTACAACAGAGTTCACAAAACATCGGTCGCATTGAAGAAAATAAGAGAGTGGGATTAGTAGTAGACCTCAAGGGCACATTGATGTTTTTTAAATTTGCGGAGCTCTTTGATGCATCTTTCAAGACACTGCTTCTCGACGACATAGCCTTTTCCTTCCCTAATGTACTCGTTTAAGATCTCTGAAGCCTTCCCTTTGGCCGAACCCAACGCCGATAATCGCTTGTACAGAGTTTGGCTTTCGTTACGGACAACAGGTGTCGCCGCCGTCTCATTCTTCACCTCCACCGCCGTACACAGCCGCCTTAACAGCGTCGATCGCCCCGTTAGGATCCGGTGTGTTACAAATTTCGACATTTTCCCTTCACTAATTCCGATTTCCAACAACCGCATCCACGCCTTGGCGTTTTTGACTAGGGTTTGAACTTCGTTTGCTAAGTAGGGTCTGGGGAGGGTGTGTGTACGCAGACCTTGCCCCTACTCGAAAGTAGAGAGGCTATTTCCAAAGAGACCCCTGGCTCAACGTCGAAAGTTGCATTGCTTGACTAACTGCTACTTCATTAATTAAAGAAGCGCAGACAGTTTAGAGATCCATTTTGATTTATTCCATCACACCCCAAAGCCAAAAAATGGTGAAATTTTGGCTCCATCGGAGATGATGGAACGAAGTTCAATCTGATCAGTTCAACTTATTTTTTTTAATCTTATTAAAATCAGATCAGACCAGATCAGATCAGATCCAATCTGATCAGATCAGATCCAATCATATAAGATCAGATCAGATCCAATCAGGTCAGACCAAATAAGATCAGATCCCATTAAGAATTATTATTATTATTATTATTATTATTATTATTATTAGTATTATTATTGTTATTATTATTATTATCAGTATTATTATTATTACTCTTAAAAAAGAAAAACTATAAACTTTATAAACAAGTTAAATAGAAAACTGAGAAAGTAATCTTTAATTATTAGACGTTGGAAAAATTATTTTTAAAATACATTGACAATGTCAATCTAATTCCATTTTTAAAATACATTTTTATTACTACCTGTAATTTGAGTTCCTAAAGTTTTGATCTTTTATGAGGATAAGATATTTTAATAAAAATACTATCTCTTCTATATATTGATTATCTAAATTTAATTAATTTTTAATGTATATATATATATATTAAATATTTATTCTAATGTATCTATGAAGTAATTATTGAAATATTAAATTAATATTCTAATTTCACAAAAAAATAATCATAAAATAAAAAATATTATTACATTATAAGATGAATGATTATTCTAATATATGAATTAACTAACTTTATTTTATTAAAAAAATAATCATAAAATAAAAAAATTGATTATATTATAGAAAAGAATTATCATTATAATTTTCAAACGTTATTATAAAGTCAAATCAAAATATTGATTTAAATTATAAATCAAATCATAATTAATTAGATCAGATCAGATCCAATCAGATCAGATCATATCCGATCAGATCAGACCAGATCAGATCAGATCAGATCCAATCCAATCAGATCAGATCCGATGAGATCAGATCCGATCAGATCAGATCAGATCAGAACTTATTAAAATCAGATCAGATCAGAAAAAATAAGTTGAACGGAACGGAGCCTTAGTTATTAACTCAAAATTGAAGACAAAAAATATAGAGTAAATTTCATAAAAGGTCCCCAGTTATAGGTCGTTTTAAATATTTAGTTCATACATATCAAATATTACTAATTTAGTCCTCAATTATTATATTCATTTCCACAAATGGTCCTTTGTTAACATTTCCATTAAGAACGTGGATAAAATTGTAAATTCACACTCCTTTATCTCCTCAATTAAGCTTCTCCCTCCCCTCGCACTCCTTTCCCAAACCCGTCGCTGAGTTTGAACCTTTGAACCCAAAACTGAAATGATAATTCTTCTCTTAATTGTTTGTCTAACTGGTGGAAGTCAAATTCGAAACCAGTAACATTCATGGATGAGTTTTAATGTTTATTTTATTTACAATATCTTAAGACTAACTGATAAAACTCATTCATAAAGCTTATTGGTTTTGATTTTAGGTTCCACCAGGAAGACTAATAATTGATAGAGGAATTATCATTTCAGTTTTGGGTTTAGAGCTTCAAACTCAGCGATGCGTTTGGGAAAGAGTACGAGAGGAGGGAGGAAGCTTAATTGAGGAGAGAGAGAATGTGAACTTACAATTTTATCCACGTTCTTAACGGAAATGTTAACAAAGGACTATTCGTGAAAATGAATATAATAATTGAGAACTTAAATAGTACTCCCTCCGTCCGGTAATTTTCTTCCCGGATTGACTTGGCACGCCTATTTAGGACTATTTAAAAATAAATAAAGTTTCCAAAAAAGCCCCTAGTTTAAAAGCAATAAAGAAAAACAATAAAGTTAAGGGATGGGGCACATTCATTATCCCAGTACAAAAAAGGACGGCACATTTATTTTCTCAATACAAATAAGGACGGAGCATTCATTAAACACAAAAATTTGGATTACTCCCTCCACTTTTCCTTCCATTACAAAAGAGCTCAAGGTCCATTTTTTTGTAAGTAGAGTCCCTGTGAGGAAGAGTTGACACTTCTTTAGATCTGATCCCTTGGCCATCGTTTTGCTCATGACTGTCTACTCCTTCGTACGAGTTTGGTATCACCACTTCACCGTCTCCCTGCAACTCTCCTTGCATGCAGTTCAATCTGCCACCAGAAGCATCTTGAAGATGTTCTAGAGGAGTTTCAGGAATAATAGAGAGAAGATATATATATCCTCTGTTTCCATTTAAATTGAAAGACTTTCCAATAAAAAAATTGAAAGAAAATGTGTGAAAAAATTGAAAGAAGGTGAAGAAGAGGAACAGGACGGAGTAGAAGAGAGAGAGATTGGGGATGATTTAAAGAAGATGAAGATAAAGATGTAGGTACGGAGTGGAAGAGAGATAAAGTGGGGAAGAGAAATGAAGAGATAGGTGGGTGGGTGGGGTAATAATAATGGTCAACACTCAATTTAAATGAAAAGATAAAAAGTGGGGCGTGGCATCCAATGGATTGTGTGTAAGGGTATAAAAGAGATTTCAAATTAAAAAGTAAGTTAAAAAAGGAAATGGGAATAATATTTTCGGACGGATGAAAAAGGAAAATGGGAAGAATATTTCCGGACGGAGGGAGTAATATTTGATATGTAGGGACTAAATATGTAAAACGACTTATAACCGGGGACCTTTTATGAAATTTACTCAAAAAAATAGTTTGGTTCCATTTGATTTTACCAAAAATAATTTGTTGTTCAATGAGTTGATTCAGTTCGACTTTTCAAGGGTTGGTGTTTTATTTTTTTGAGTTTTAAGGAAAATGTTTTTTAAAATAATAAATTAAAAGTGTTTTGTAAAAAACATTTTCTTATAAAATACTCAAAAAACAAAATTAAAGTCTTAAAACAACATTAGAACATCTAAATATGCTTAACAACAACAACAAAGTTGAACAAACATAGTATAATCTCACAAAAAAGTATAGGGTCTAGGAAGTTGCATGTGGGAAGATCTTTGCTCTCTCTAGAGTCTAGAACTAGCGGTACTGTTTTCAAAAACTCTCTAGCACAAACTAGGGGTGGACACGGAACGTTTCCGGGCCGGTTCCGGTTCTGGAACCGCCGGTTCCGGTACCACCACCCCTTGGTTCCGGTACCCGGACCGGCGGTTCCGGTACCGGACCGGCTGGTTTCGGCCATCCCCAATTTATTTATTTTTTTTGCTTTTTTTAAAAAAATTTTAAAGTGTAAAATTGTAAATTTGTAATTGTTAAAGAAAAGAATGAAATAAAAAATCTAAAAATGTAGTTGTTATTTAAATATTGTAAAATAAGTAATACACGAACTGAAGAACAACTACATTTAATATCCTGGCGGTTCAAAAAAAGCGACAAGGTAAAGAACCGTAAAGAAACCCTCGAAGGAGCTTATATATTGCTCACCTAAAACAACTAATTACATATTTACATTAACATAAAAAAGTTTATAACTTATTCCTCAGAACTCGGACTTCCATCTGTGGTTGCATTCATGTAATGCTCCGAATTGAATTCGTACCCTGACTCTTGAGCTCGACGTCTTGCCAAGAGCCAATCTTGGTTGCAAACAAGTGTTTCAAGAGATTCAGCGTTAAGACAACTTCGGTAGTCGGTTAGAATGTTGCCGCCAGCACTGAATTCTCGTTCAACTGCTACGGTTGATACAGGGACGGACAACACTTATCTTGCTAGCATTCCGAGACATGGGAACATGTGTTTGTTCCGCTTCCACCATCCGAGGACATCAAACTCCACGTCGTCGTCGTCGTAATCGCATGGCACCCCTTGGTACATAGCAAGTTCGTTGTGCGAGCTTACTGTTGTACCACTTGAACTCGTCGAAGGCTGAGCACACTTCCCTTTCTTTGCAAGAAGCCCACCGACTATTCCTTTAAAACCTTTTTTTTATTTAGGGGCGTAGGAGGTGCTGTTTCTTCTGGTACAGTACCGTATAACCCTTGATATTCCTTAAACAAATTCTCAAAAAGAGTTATAGCATTATCTCTTTCTTTTTTCCATTCTATTAAAAGGCTGTAGTAATAACTATTTTCATCTAAAAAAACAAGTGTAGTAATAGTCAATTAGAATTTTAAAATTTTCAATCTTAAAGCGTGGATAATAAATAATACCTATTTTATAAATATCAGGAATGTACAAATAATAAGCACACCATTTCTCTCTCATATGATAGACATAAGGGTACAAATCAGGATCAGCCATACTTTCACGAAAACATGTTGCGATTGTAACGCACTCTTTAAAAAATGTATTTGTAGTTGGTTGGTAAACATGCGAAAAAGTAAGAGCTGCGTTATTAAAAACTTCTAATACGGCATTCAATTTTTCAACAATAACAAATTCAATAGGTGAAATGATTATACGAAGTTCATCCCTAAAAAATTCAGCAAGTTCCTCTTTCTAGCTTAGAATCTGTGCTATCAACTTTTAAGTACTATTCCATCTAATGTTGATATCTTTGGCAAATGTTATTTCTCTTTTACCCTTAGACTTACAGAATATCTTCCAGGACCTCGAAATAAGACGAGCCCCCCAAATTCTTCTAATCCCTTCTTTAATATTCGTCAAACCCCCCCCCCCCCATAGCTTCTAGTCCCTGTTGAACACATAAATTTAAAACATGACAGGCACACCGTTGATGCAAAAATCTACCCATAGTTGTTGTAGGGGGCAAATTTCTCTAAGTCTAGGAATAGCAGCAGTATTATTAGTAGCATTATCAAAACCAAATGCAAACACTTTATCAACTAAGTTGTATTGTAACACCCTAATCCGTCCAGGTCTGCAGCCCCTTTCGGACTAAAGTATTTAACTTGAAAATCGTAAAAATTTAAAACTTTTCAAACACACTTTATTAATCCCAATAATATTTTCATAACATATACAGTACGGAGTATTCAACAATATTGCGGAAGCGAATTTAATATTGACATATCATAATTCATCTCAAAATTTGTCACATCCACCCCGACAATCTCGCCCCATCTGCCACCAGAATTACATTGTTCTTTCTGTTTACCTGCGTGTAGCAAATAAAACACACTACATGCTCAGCGGTAAAGCTGAGTAAGCATATCTAATGCATCGAACATCCATATAAACTGAATCTAAATTCATAATCAAATCATTTGATATCATGCACACAATGTTCATTTCAGACATTCAAAGTTTTGATAATGTTCAGTTCATATCAACACCTTTTATTCAATTCAGATATTATTCCGACAGTGCCCTTAAATTATTCTTAATCTAAGGCCAAATAATAACAATGCTCTTAGCTATTCATAGTCTAAGGCCATATCATAACAATGCTCTTAGCTATTCTTAGTCTAAGGCCAGATCATAACAATGCTCTTAGCTATTCTTAGTCTAAGGCCAGATCATAATAATGCTCTTAAAAAGGCAATTAATTATCAGACACTTAAACTATCATTAGTTTAAGGCAATCGATTTCAGACACTTAACTATAGTCAGTTAAGGCAATTCATAATCAGACACTTAAACTATCGTTAGTTTAAGGCAAATGATATCGGACACTTAACTGTAGTCAGTTAAGGCAACAACAATATAGCAATTGATCAACGTTGGATCAGGGCATTCCCAAACAAGTGATCCTCTAGTTTGGTCTATGAATTCAATTATTACATTTTCATCCAATCACTGAATATTCATGTTTCAATAATATGAGATTTATTCTAGAGGTCTTCTAGATAGCCATAACATCAATTCTCTAAATGGGTATATCTTAGAGTTCTTCTATATACCCTTAACACTACAATTCATTTCATAAGTATAAATGTATTCATTTTACTCATGATTCAATCATAAATACTTATTTTAATCAGTAGGTTTATTACTCATAATCATCCATAATGTTCATTTATCATAATCATCAATTAACATAACAATTGATAACAAATAGCGGTCTAGCTTCTAGTGTTAACACCCAAACTAACCATCATGCGTCACATAACATTTTTAGTTGTTAAAAAAATTATTTCTATTAGGTAAATCATTTTTATAATGATCATAATCAATTGGTATCAAAAATAGAATTTTAGAGCTCAAAAATAGCATTTCCAAACAAATTTTCGGATCAGAACTTCGGGGGATCGATCCAGCCCTCTGGATCGATCCATGATATGAAAAAAATGTTCCCATAGGATCGATCCAAGCCTTAGGATCGATCCAGGCAATGGTTTTCATCTTACTGTTCATCTTCTTCAACCTTCGGCCCATTTTTCGGAAATCCCGTTTTTAGTCATCGAACTTCAACGAAACTATATAGAGATGTTCTCTAAGGTTCATAGATCATTTTGGTATCATTAATTCATAGTTTTAACATCAATTTAATGGTTTATGATTCTTGGTTCTTCTAGCATGTCAAACACAAAACTCAACCAAATGACCGTTTTTGAACGTAGAAACGATCTATACAAACATTCTAGTCACTAGATATATCTACGGGCTTACCTCAAAGCTTATCGAAGGTTTTGAGAATTTTCCGGCGAAACTTCCGGCGATGATTACTCCCAATTCCGGCGACTTCGGCGGCAACCAACAACACCAGACTGCTCTCCTTACTCTTATGAGCACAATGGTATATATTTCCAGAAAATTGGTGAAGAATTGGTAAGGATTGGATATCCTTATATAGGAGAAGAGAAGGGGAAGAAGACATTGGTAGCTGACTCATTTCTACTTAGAAATTCCTTAGTGTGCACGATGGCGATTCTAATTGATCTACACGCCGTTCCCTGATTGGGACCAATTTGATTCCAGTCGGAGGTACACTTTTTGGTCCAACTTTCTCCGAATTGAATTCCGTTTACACCGTTGCGATCAGACAGTTAAACTCTATGCAACCGTTGCGATCAGACAGTTAAACTCTATCCAGCGATATAATTTCTATATTTATTCGTTATACTTTGTCTGACATCATATTTTTGGGTGTTTGACTTTGACAGAGTAAAAATTGATTTATTTGATCTTTATTCAAAAAGGTTTCTCACATTTAATTCATATCATTTGTTCTAATAATTTATTTCAATAAATCATTTCAAAGTTCACATCATAAATAATTTCTTCATTTATTCTTGATTTGGGTCTGTACGCAGGTTCCCAATCAAGACCACACAAATAGTCAACAAATTGGGTTTATCTCTATGAGATTTATCTAGATTGTGATAATGGATATCAAAACACATTTTGTATCGGCCCAAAGCCCAACTACAATTTATTTTAATCAAAAAAATTTGATTAATCAAATAATTATTTATTAATAATTCTAGGGTATGTTTTGGGGCGTTACATTTCTACCCCCTTAAAGGAATTTCGTCCTCGAAATTCTTCTAAGGTCCATAATCGACATTTGTTGTATTCATAATTAATCGTGACAACGTCATGTTCGCATGGTTACATTTTATCTTCTAGATACGTATTCTCAACCGTTGATGTCACTAAACTCATTCAACAATTTTCAATTAAGCAAGGCCTTCAATAATCCTCTCGTATTGATGACAAAAGTTCCTTCATAGTGTGTAGTATTGTACACTTGACATGTTTGCACATGACTTTGTTCAGTCACGAGTCTCGTTTGTACATCATTGATCAGCAGAAATCTTTTCTCGATCGAAAAGTTCCTCAATAGCCTTTGTAGAAGGGTCACGATAGGAATAGTTGGAAATTTGGAGATAATCTTAATCCATACGTCGTTACTTAATCTATCAAGTTACTCAAGGGGTCGTAGTCTTAGGCAATAGCCAAATTGACTTTTCATTTCTGATTTGAACGTATTTCAGGACAGCGAATCCAATTGTTCATGAGTCGCAATATGTCAGATCGTCAGCAGACTGTAGTATTGGCGAGTATGTCATTGTCAATAGGTAATTTGAATCCATCTTTGCTGTTCAAAATTCGACTAAGGATAACTACCCTTTTTCTCAAAGGTCAGGTTTCAGAGCCTATCATGATTGTGGCAAGAGTATCTCACATTCTCACATTATGGAAGGAACTTCCCGAACTTTTCCTTATATCATAAAATTTGTTGGTCTACTTGGTAGTCATGCTCTTGGTAGAAATCCAAAGTTCATGGCTACGGCGGTAGATTTAAGAAGGGAGTTGGTAAGGATAAAAATAAGGCTTACCTATGGAGGAGGCAACGTTGGCCTTCAAGGAGCTATTGCTTCAACGGTCTATACCAATGGTGGTATAGTTAGAAGCTTCATTCCAGGGTACATAGCGACACGACAGGTGTACGGACCTACGTATGGTGCAGAATACACAGTTTCTAGCAACTACTATAAGTACTTCGAGATGAATCATGTTGTGGAAGCCTTCATCGTACTTCCTGGAGGGATTGACACTATGGAAGGTTTGTTCACTTTGATCTCATGGGCATCCGAAGGGTTGCACAGTAAACCCATTGGTCTCTTGAACATTGACGGCTATTTCAATAACCTAATCAAATTTCTAGATGATGCGGTGAGACAGAACTTCATGGCTTCCATTCAGAGGAAACTTTTCATTTCTTCTTTCTTTATTGATGAACTTTTAGACAAGCTAGCGTTTGCTAAAGCTTTTCCGGGTCCTGAGGCTAATTATGACGAGTTTGCAAATCCCGGGGGAATAGATTTAGAATTGCATTTGTAATATTACTTTATGTAATTTCAGTTGAATTTGTGTTGGAATAATATTGTCTATGAACATTATGAGTTAACCATAAATATTATTCTAAGCTGCATGGCGAGTGCAAGTCAGAAAAATATTTATTTTCAACGTCAGAATGCATCATGTAAATATCAAACATTTTCTTCAAGATGGGTTGAATGAAAGATTTTATTATACAAAGTGTTCAACACACGAAGATTCAAACAGTTAGGAATATTTTTGGGATACAAATCGAAAGATAATTTCTTGTTTACATAAGGTTTCTACATTATTCAATATATCCTCGAGCCCTTGTAGCACCTTAGGATCTTCACAGAGTATCATCCTTGGGTTGGATTCTTTGAATTTTTTCGTGTTTTAGAACGTTGACTTGTTCCTGAGCGAACAGGTTGATTTTGGACAGAAGTAACTGAATATGATTTAGGGTTAGAAGGACATTCTCGTTGGAAATGTCCAGGTTTACCACAACTTAGACATAATCCTTGCGCACGCCAGCAATCTCCTGGATGGTGTCTTTTACAAACGTTACACTTTGGATGTTTCCATACTCTCATTTTGTTCATGGATGACGTTGATTGAATTGTCATCCATTTTTGAGTGTAGGGAACTATCAATTTCTTGCAGGGGTCTCTTCCCACTTGTATTTGGTCGTTCATTTAAATTGACAACCTCAATCTTCAGACTTTCATAGTAATCACTTAGATCTTTGTCGGCTTTAGAGATTAGGTCTGTAACACCCCAATCCGTATAACCCGGAATTACACGAATTAAGGTGAAACGAGGGATAAATAAAAATTTCGCTTGACATTTGAAAATGAAAATTTATTATAAATATTAAATTTACAGACTCTGGATCGCGACCCATTTAAAAATATTTTCAGAGTAATGCGAAAGTACAATAATAATCAAATCATGACATATTTTAAAATATGTTGATCATACATTTGCCTGCTATCCTTGCATCTCCTCTGACTCAATGCCCTCCGGGAATGGTTCCATCATTGTCTTCTTGTTACCTACGTGTAGTCAACGAAAAATACAAACTACACGCTCAGCGAAACCGCTGAGTGGTACCACGCTAGAATTGTAGAATGATTCACAGACGTATACATATACATATATATACGTCCACAAATGTATAATAATATTCATGATATGGCACATTATATCATATGGTCAATTTGATGATTCATGATGATAAATATTCAATAATAATTACATGATGGCACAATTAATCAATTTGCTTGTGAGGATGATTACATGATACTCATATAATCAATATACTTGTTCTTGATGATGAATACATGACATCTATGTAATCGATGTACTTGATGATGATAACATGATGCGTAATGGATGTCACACATAGTCATGATGATTTTACTTGATGATGACTTCATGCTGTATGATTCTAAGTCGCAAAGACGAGCCTTGAGCTATGAGATCCGCCCATTTGGTACGACGAACTCACGCAGAAATAGGGGTGGTACTCGAAAACCTAAGTACCATGTACGTACACTAAGCCCGGTCCGTGATGTCTGACTGCTAAGTCCCGCACAATCACAACTACAAGAGACGCACTTCCGCCTGATCTCTTGCGCATGCACATGATGTGATATGTTTCAATATGGATGATGAAATGAATCACATGATATGAACAATTTGTAAACAACATGATTGGATAAATATACTTTATTTTATTTGGATGAAATCTGATAAAAATATCATTTAATTAAACTACGGGGCTCGGAACGGTCAACCGTTTGGCGGAACGGTCGACCTTGATCTTCAACAGTTC